TGCAGTCACTTGCAGGACTCCTTGGGGCTATTTGCAGCCACAGAGCACAGGAACATCAGTGACTTCTTTAATTCTGGGCTTTCTGCCTGGCTTCATTTGCAATATTTTCTTAGAAGTCACCTCCTTTTTATGGATAAGAGAAGGAAAGAATCAACCACTGCTTGGCTGCTCTGTGGTGGATTCCAATATGTGACCCAGATGATAGCCAGTTTTCTTTAAATGGGATGCATGGGAAACTTTCAAAGAAATATTTGGACAAATTCCCAGAAGACAGATCAACTGAGGATGCCAGGCATCATACTACAGGAACTGATGTTTTCTTTTTTTAATTAAATAATTTATTTATTCTAATTTGTTATACATGATGGCAAAATGCAATTCATTTCATATTACACATATAGAGCACAATTGTTCAAGTCACTGATTGTACACAGAGTATTTTCACACCATTCGTGTCTTCATACATGTACTTAGGGGTAATGATGTCTAACTCATTGCACCATCTTTCCTACCCTCTTGACCCTTCTTTTCTCTCCTTCCCCTTTGCCCTATCTAAAGTTCCTCCAACCGGCTCCCCCCCACCACCATTATGAGTAAGCTTCCTCATATCAAAGAAAGCATTCGGCTTGCTTCCCTTAGCATTATATTCTCCAACTTCATCCATTTACCTGCAAATGCCATGATTTTATTCTTTTAATGCTGAGTAATGTTCCATTGTGTGTGTGTGTGTGTGTGTGTGTACATACCAAAGTTTCCCTATCTATTTATCTACTGAAGGACATGTAGGTTGGTCTGATGTTTTCTTTTAAGGAAAAGGATTCAAAGGAGGGTCACTTTCACGCACTGATCTGATAAGGAAGGGGCAGATGGGGTAACTCATCACAGTGGGTGGTGAGAACAGAGTAGCTGTGACTGTTTCAGGCTAGGACCATGATAGGGGACCAACTCAGAAGTGTACAGCCTGTCTTGCACAATTGCAGTCTGGACTTATAGGTCTAGCTACCTTACTCCAAACACGTGTGCAATATCCAGTTTGTCCTGCCTATTTCAAAATTCTCATCATTGAGCTCATTCCCAGAGATTATTCTCAGAATTCACCCCAGGCCCAAGGAAAACTCATTTTAAACCACTGTAACCAAGAGATGGAAAAAGTCAGAAAAATATGGTGAACTCTTTCACCAAAAATAAATAAATAAAAATGCTTCATCAATGACAATGTGCTCAGTCATATACAGCTGAACCTGGGGAATCTGTGAAAGTTGCTGAGAATGCAAAAGGAGTCTAAATTTTGCTCTTTTTCTGACCTGACACAGTAGAAATAAGAACCTTGAACCTTGAGGCTGAAACCAGATTTAAAAGTAATATGTACAATTATTAGTACAATCCTTCCTTAACCCAACCTCACCTTCACTTTAGGATGCTATATGCACACTGGATATACCACTTTCACTATCAGAGTATCATAGCTTTAAAAAAAAAAAGAAATAAATTATTCTCTTTATCTTGGTATTCTCCTTCACATCTATCAGATCTCCAGATTTCTTATGTACTTTGTGGACATTCAATGTTTAATGTAAAAAAAAAATGGGAGTTTTCATTATAAAGAATTTGTAGAATACTGAAATGGATAAGAACTCTTAATATTCTATCTCCTATTAATTATAAAAATTTCTCAAGATTAAGAGAAAACTAAACTCTTATCAGGGCAGCCACATGCAGCATAGCTTAATACTGATATCACTCAAAGACTTTTTCTTTTTTTTTTTAGGGAATCCACCCAGGAGAGACTTGCCAATCCCAGGAGTTATGTGATCACTTCTTGTGGGTCATAGAATTCAGCTACAAAATTACAAATGCAGTAATCATTACATTTCTATCACTGGTGACTTTGCTGGTGTCATTGTACAGGGGAACTGAGGGCATTAGCTGTCTCTACTCTTCTCATTTATCACGTGAAAGTAAAAACCCTACCAACTATTCTTGAGATACTGAAGAAAGCAGAGTAATTTTATTTACATTTCTTCTTCAGATTCTCAGCATGACAAAAAAAAAAGCCCCGAACGTCCATTGTCATTTTAAGACAATGTCTTGGGCAGATAAGTCAAAAGTACAGGATGAGTTACTTCTCAAACCTTCTCTTCCCCCAAAACTTAGTTTCCCTTCCTTCATGAGGTTCTCTCTTGCTACTCCCTTTCTCACTGCTCTGTCTCATTGACCACAAGAAGCACTTGTTTTCTGTGCTCATCTAGGTTGTGGGATATCAAGGTCAGGGACCAAGTTTTAGCTCCCTGGGTACTGCCCATGCTGTCTACCACCCACTGGGCACATAATAAGGGCTTATCCATGGTGCAATTTTTAATCACTAATTTAAATCACTATTTTAGACTTGGACAAACTTGGCTGTGGAAATAGCATCTAAGTCTTTTGGGATTTTTGTTTACCAAAATAAATTGATCATAGTCCCTCAGAGAATTTCAGATACTCTTGTAAGGACTGAACATATTCCAGGGTTCCACAGATCCTGTTTTCAAAGAGCTTACAATGTAATGGGAAACTTGGGCACAGGCATAAGAAGTCAAACAGTCAAACAATTACATTCTCATTACAAAATCTACCCTGGGTTGCCAAATATGCTTTCTTTATGGGCTCATATTATACACATTGTATTTTTAAAAGTTTGAGGTTATTCTTTTCACTGTAATACAAGCAGAAGCTTAAAGCATACCATAAAATGAAAAGAAAAAAAAAAACCAAAAACAAGTGAAACATCAATTTGATGCTCAAATTTCAGAAGGGTATGCCTGAATGCAACATCACAAATTCATAAATCCTATCTGCAGTGTCAGTAATAAATGGTGTCATTATGGAAAGTAATTTTGTTAATGAAAACTAGAATAAAATAATGGAATCACATTAAAAAGCTACATTTCTGGGGCTGGTGTTGTGGCTCAGTGGTAGAGTGCTTGCCTAGCACACATGAGACACTGGGTTCGATCCTCAGCACCACATAAAAATAAAGATATTGTGTTCATCTACAACTAAAAAAATTTAAAAAAAATAAAAGCTACATATCTGAGGTTTACCCAGAGATAATAAAATTTGAATGAACTCTGCCACTTTAACTTCCAGCTAATAATAACTTGGATTAGCAAGCATAGTAGTCACTTTTTATTCATATCATCTTTAGAACAAATCATGTAGTTTATAACGTCTTATTGTATAGATGAGGGGACTGACTCCAAATAAGCTAAGTAACTATTTAACTCACATAAGTAATTATATTGCTGTGATAGAAGGATGGATTATCTGTTTATGGATCTGTAAGGGGATTATCCATTTATGTTTGGTCCCTTACCATTCAAAGATACAGATGCAGAATTTGATGTTTTCAAGTTTTAATGATATGGTTTTACAATCTGTATCTCTTATGGCAAATTTTCCCTGGTTTAATAACTATAAGTACGTATTTTTTTTTTTTATTTCTCCAGGTGGCAAACAGTTTGAGGATCACACCCAAATCTAAATTAGACTGAAAGATCTGTGTATACAGTCTCTCATACACACAACTCCATAAAAACTTGAGTGACCAAATGAAGGAATGTTCTTTCAGGGTTTCCTCCAAGATTCAGGAAAAAGAAGCTGCTAACCTAGAATAGGGTGGACAGGAAGGAACAGAGAAGCAATACAAAGACAGCTTTCTTATTACCTTTCAAAATGATTCAAATTGTAGTTCATCTCTATGGGACACAATTCAGTCTCAGATAACTCAGTAGAGCATCTTCTTATCTCATTTAGACAAACTGATCAGATGGTCCCAATGCTGTATTTTTTTTTTTTCAATTTTTTTTTTGGGGAGATCCTTGTACATTTTCTTTTTTAAATAGTAATGTGATCACCATAGCAACTAACAGATATAAATCTTGTCTTATTGAATCATTATACTGGAAATCAGTCTGGGCAGAGTCTGGGTTAAAAGGAGTAGAAGGAAAATAGAATAAGGAGTGGTTGAGATAAAAATATTAAATCCAAAATTTTAAAGGTACATGGTTATTCTTCAAATTGAAGGCCACCAAACTGTAAAGGAAGCAGGTAGGGCCGCAGATAGGGTGGACCTGCAGTTGATAAGCAGTAAAATACTGTTTATGAGTATAGGGATGGTCGCTCTACCATGTTGTCCCCTCCTCATCATTAGGAAAGGACATTGGAAAGAGGTAACTGATACCTGAGGCCCAGAATCTAACTTAATTTAGCCTCTTAGTTTGGTACAAGTGGAAACCTTCTCTACCAAGCGCTCTGCCCTACAATCTTTCCAAGCCTGCAGGGAACCAAGAACCATCAAGGGACTTCTGTGAGTTAAGACCAAGGCTTGCAACTAGCTGCACCCAACCTTTCCCCCAGGGCCCAGCAAGCGTTATGTAAATAACAAGTTACTCCTAGACCTACACGTGAGAAGGCGGGGCCCGACACAAGGTGTACTACCAGAGTTGCTAGGCGCGCCTAGGGGACAGCCCTAAGCCCCTCTCCCTCCAAGCCTCTACAGCCCCGATCTTTCCAGTTCTGCAGCCAAACGTGTGGCTGTTCCCAGCTGCCTGCGGACCCGAGGCTGGGTGAGGGGGCCGGGGCCGCCACATGGCGCGCTTGAGGAGATGGCAGCTGCGCTTTGTTTCCAGCAGCTAGGGTGAGTCACCGGCCCCCGCAGTCCCAAAGCCGGGCAAACACTCAGGCTCAGGCAGCTGAAAAATTTGCAGCAGGAGCGGCTACCCAAGCGGCCGCAGCCTCTTCCTCCTCCTTTTTCTCCTCCGCCGCCGCTGCCACTGCCACTGCCACCGCCGCGGCCGCCGCCTCCACCCTGCCTCCTCCCAGCCTCCGCCCCGTCCCCTCCTCCTCCGCCCGCGAACTTAGTCAGCGGTTCGCTCCTCCGCTCGCCTATTGGCCGGCGGAACGCGACGCGTCACAATGGAGCCGGTCGGAGGCGGCGAGCCGGGCAGCGCCTGGGCTTCCCGCTGAGTCCGCAGCCCCGGGCAGCCGGGAAAGTGCGGGCGCAGGGCCGCCGCCGGCGCGCCCGGAGAGGCGCGGGGCGCACGCTGCGGAGAGCGCCGGCGCCCGGGGCTGGAGTCGCGCAGGTAGGTCGGAGCGTGACACCCGGGCTCGCTAAGGAGGAGTCGAGTCGACCCAGGTGGTGAAGGCGGAGGAGGGCAGGGTAAGGGGACGCAGCAGGTGGGGTTGGCTGAGCAGGTGCGGTTACCTGTCCGTGCCTCACCTGCAAGCGAGGGTGTGGGCAGGTGGCGCGGCCGGAGAGATGAGTGGGGGCTTCACTGCTCCCTTGCCTTTGAGAGAGAGGGGAGCGTTACCCCTGAAAGGACCTCTCCTGGATGCTGGGGTCTCTTGGGGCAGGAGGAGTGGGCAGCCGCGCCAAGTCGATCCCCTCTCTGCCCCAGCACTTGGGCTCTGCACCTGTGTGTGAGTCGTCGGGGCGCCCGGGGAAAAGGTTCTGCTTTCTCAGGCTGGGGTCTCTCCCCAGATGAGTTAAACTCCCTCAAAGGGTCTACATTTGGTTGTTTTCACTTGCCCCTGCCTTGGCGCTGCTTGTTGGCAAACATTTTATGCTTTTGGATACTTGGTATTCGTCTGTAATTTGGTGATATTCGTGGTTCTTCCGTTTGAAGGAGTAGGGGGCAACTGATGCCCATTAAGAGAGACGTTCAGAGTTTCTTTCTCCTGAGCTGTAGTTGAGCAGGTGCTGAGAGGGCAGAAGGGAGGAGGCTGAGAGTTGGCTCATTAATCTGCGTCCTCAACTGACTTCCCAAAGTCCATAGGTTGCCCTTAATCAGATGTCATTTGTGAAAGACTTTTCTCTGTGTCAGAAAGGCTCTCTCTCAATACTCCACCGCCTGTCCCCCACCCCCCCAAAGGACAAACCTAAATTTAAAAACAAAAACCATTGTTTTTGTTTTTTCTTGAATAATCCACCCTGCCTAAAACAGTGTGTGTGCACACACACACACTCACATACACATAAAACCTCTACTGTAAACATATTTGCATAAAAAAATTTTAAATTGTAAACATGTAATCAATTTAAAATAGGTTATTTGTTTAGCGTGTATTGAAAAGAATTAGAAGCTGAGAGTGTAACTCAGTGGTAGAGCACCACGCTTAGTGTGGGCAAGGCCCTGGGTCCAGTCCCAGCGCTTCAACTGTCTATGGCTTCTACTACTAATAATTAAGTGGCATGTGTCTTTACCAGACTGCTGTCTCCCAAGTCTAGGTGTACAGCTAAAATACAGAAAAGAACAGTATAATTAATTAACGAGTCTAGTACCCATCTGTGCACAGGTTACTCCTCCTGAGAACCCCAAATGGTCTGAGTTGTGGATGTCAAGGTGACTTTCCTTGGCCCCTGGCTTTCCTAGTCAGCAGCTCCACTCTTGAAGAGAATGTAAATGACAGTTAATCCCCCAGGTAATTAGGTCTGTATGATTTAAGATTATAAGCTCTAACATGTCTGATACTGCTCTAAGCTTAAAAGAGGGCCCTTCATTCAGGGAGTGGAGTGGATTAATCTGTCATTGGGTGCACAGTTGAGTTGTAGCACTTTTCTTAATACCCACTTTTCAAAGAAAAAAAAAAAGGTGTGTTAGAATTAAGTTTACTGTAATCTATAGAATGAAAACAGCAACATCAATTAAAATAAAAGGCCCTGATGAATACAACTTTAAAAGAATACTAGGTTGTCCAGAGTTTTTTAGACTGATCTATTTTGGTATTTTCTGGTAGGGGCCTGAGATTTGTCATTTTGTGTTTTGCTTTCTGAAGTTGAAGGGGGAAATATTTTAAAATTTAGAAGATGCTGACTTTAACCAGTTTTACATATAAGCAAGTTTTTTAAAATTTCAAATATGTATGTTCCTCTTTTCTCTACAAACCATACAAAAAAAAATAGCCTATTTAATCCAGTGCCTGATTTTCATTTAGTCTCTTTCAAGTTGAATTTTCAAATTTTATTGTTATTTCTCCATCCCAGCTTCTTTCTAGTATCCAGTGATGTTATTAGAAATTAATACATTCTGATTATGTCATGTTACTCCCCAGTTGGTGGAATGGTTTGCATTGCCTTCAGTATAACATCTCTCACTGCTTGTACCCACTTCCAGAGCACTGGAGGTACCAGCAAACAACTTCGACTTGTGCCTACCCAAAAGGAAAAAAGGAATTTTTGGAAACCAAAGCACAGTGGAGAATTAATTTAGCCACTTATAAAATGCCTTCTAATTTGTGTCATGTCTGTTTTCATGTTGCTGACTTCCTTTATTGCTATTGCCTTCTTTCATTTTTATTTCTCATCTCTATTCTCTAAACTTCCTACATGCTTGATAGTGACTTAGTTTTAGCTGGGGTGTAAAATAATGCCTTTGGTAGACATGATAGTCTATTCTTCTTTTTTGGATCATTAAGATTGAGTTTTAATAAAACTAGGCCTAACTCCAATCACTGAATGTTTCTCCTAAATTCTTATCACTGCCATTCACTGAGAACGATCAAAGAAAGGGTAATAATAAACTCCCTGTTCTATGACTTCCTTTCATTTAGGATTCTACTCAATTGCAACACAATTTAAATTTACTCCTTCAATGCTATTGTGAACAGAGTAAAGGAAATGAATAAAAAATGAGTTGTCAGGGCTTCAACCTTGACCTTTCCTTTTTGCCTTTTTGGCCTTTATGCTGTCTTTGATATGGGTCACATGATTCTGCTTGTCCCTTTCCAGGCTGTGTATATTTGAACTTCATCTCCTGCTTCTTCAATTTCAGAGTCCTTTGTAATTCTTCTTGTCTGTCTCATCTTGTGTTCGTTTGCACAGCTTCCTTCTGCAATGCCCACTCTTCTGCAGTAGGACTTTAATGGAAACTGCCAGTGCACAGCTTCTCTTTTTCTTCTGTTTCCAGCTCCATGCAGGGGACTGAGAGCTTCCTCTAAGCATCTCTGATGGAGACCAAATTCTTTAAGGCCAAGTAGCATGTTCCTTTGGATTCTTTTTCACATATGCAAAATTGAGAGCATATTCAAACTTTTTTTATTTTCTTCTGTCAAATTATTTTCAGCATTTCAAAATACTTTAAAAAATAAATAAATAAAACTATTCTTATTTAGAACCAGGAGTTCTTCAGGCTTTTACCTAGGGCTTGAACTTTGCAAACTGATGGGTTTGCACTAGAACTGTCCTCACTTTGGGTTAGTTGCTGGATTAGTTAGCTTTAACTACCAGTTACCAAGACCACAAAGAACAATGGCTTAATCCAAGTGATGTGTGTTTCTCTTTCACATTAAAAGTAAAAGTTATAAACAGATGATCTAGACATGGGTCCTAGTTCTGTATTCTCTTTTATTGGATCTTTCATAAGATGAGCCCCTACCTCATGATCCAAGGTGAAGTTTTAGCCATCACATCCAAGTTCTCAATAGTAGAAGAAGGAAATAAGAAAGTGGTGAAGAGGGGAAAGGCAAGAACCTATGGTCTCTTAAGGAAATTTCCTAGAAATCATCATATTCTTATAGTATCTCATTGTGTAGTACCTAGTGCCTCTTCTCACTTCCTGAATCAGAGTCTGGGAAATATTGTCCTTTACTCATACAGTCTTATTCCTAACTAAAAACATGGTCTGGAGGTCACAAGCTTAGGATAAAATGAATTTGGGGGTATTCAAACACCACAGTTATTCTAAATCTCTCTTTTCTTGACTTGAGGTACCCAAAAGATTCATGAGTTAGACAATACAATAATGTTCAGAGTGGATTGATTTAGGTTATGGGAGATATAGCCTCATCACTGGATTATTCCATTTGATAGATAAGTAGTTTGAATGAACTACTGGGAGGCAACTGCATGCAGATGGGGCATGGCTGGAGGAAGTGGTTCATGTGAGTGGGGAATGCCCTTTCACTATATCTTGTCCTTGGCTCCTTTATCCTTCTGCCATGATGTTCTGCTCCACCTCAGGCCCAGAGCAAGGAATCTGCTAACCACGGACTGAACCTCTGAAACTGTGAGCTCCAAATAAATGTTTTCTTCTCTGAGTTGTTCATGTCAGGTATTTTGGTCTCAGCAACAAAAAACTAACAAACACAAAATGCTAGTTCATATTCCTCCCATTGATTTTTTTATAAATTATCCTGTTTTCCTGATGAAACATCATTGACATTCAAATCCTTTTTAAATATTTGGGCATTTGCCCCAAATGGTGATGATTCCAGACTATAGGGTTGTACCTTGTCATGGGAGGCAGAGGAGGGGGTGTTTGAGAGACAGATAATAACATATTATCACTCCCTGTTAGCATTTATTTCTTAGCTTAAAAACATGGCTCCGATTAAAAGCATGTCTTGTGAAATAAAACAGACCTAGATGCAAATCCTGGCTCTGTCACTTACTCACTGTGCATTCTCAATCTCCTTATCTGTGAACTGGGATGGGATTAAGTGGGGGGGGGGGGAATGGAGTACTTAATATCATGCCTGATAAAAGAAATGATTGCTTTTCCTTTTTAATTTGGCCTAACCTGTGTGAAACTTTTAAAAAATCAACTCTTACTCTATTTTTAGTTACATTTTAAAATTGGTCATCTTTGTGCACAGTCAAATGAATGTATTTGACTTTCTAGTCAAACTTTTTAGAATTGTCTCCAAAATCAGTTTATGACCCCAATAGTAGCAAAATTGTTCTATACCTTTTGTCAAAAACAAGAATAGCCAAGCTTTCTCCTTCCTCATCTTTGATTTGAATGATTTTTGCCTAATATACCCAGACACTAACCATTACCACTATTGAGTATGTTTCATAGTATTTTTAGCAGTTATTTATTAAGCACTGACTGTGTGTCAGACATTATGCTAAATTCTAGAGATGCAACAGTAGGCAAGAATATGTGATTGCTACCCTAATGGAGGCTGCAAGATATTGAGAGAGACAGGAGAATTTATCACTGCATACACATGAAAGTTGCCACTGTGAAAGTTGTTAGGAAGGAGACATACAAGTGCTGTTAAAGCATATGGAAATGGTGACTTAAGGAACAAAATATTGGCCAGTGACTGCAATAACTAAATGAGGAGTTTTGTGGTTTAA